GGAGGTGTTTCAGAACATTTTCAGAAAAAAGAGTTTAAAAAATGGTATATTTGAAATTATTATTAGATTTTATTGAACAACCCAAAATGGCTTGAAAACCTGACCTAAGTTCAGTATTTTGGCTACGAAATTTGAAATAGAGGTGGGACTTATTTTTTGACAATGAATTTGAATAGATGACACTTTTTCCTTCGAAATGAGAGATTCACGAGCTCCGTACATCATTTCGTTACAGAGAATTATATCCGTGTCAAAACACATGTCACCTTTTTGCAGTAAAAAAGCACAGAAGGTTTGAACAAGTGAGTCTATAATTTTGCACACTTCTGTATCTTTAGAAATTCGCTTGCCCATCGAAAAATGAGAACAGGAAATCAAATCCTAGTTTTATTTTAAATCAAAAACTTTCATCCAATGAATTTCTATTGCTAAAATTCGAGAAAATGTATAAAATAAACGCATGTTTTCCATCTGATTACATACCATGTGTACTACATCGACTATTAGCTGAAATGTGCCAACATATATGAAACGATGGTGTAATGGATCGAATATATGAAATAATTATAACTACCCAAATATAATTGCTATTTAAAATAATGAGTTTATAACTATCGTCTTGAGTATTTATTATCAGAGCGTTTCAGTTCGTGTTCTATGGGTATCGGTCTTAAAGTACGACGCTTAACACGGCCGAGGATAAGACTGATCGAAAGGTCTGCTTCAAAGGCATTTATATTGAGCTAATCATCAATCGATTATGAGCTTTACTTTAAGATGTAGACTCTTAAAAATACTGAAAAATCAATGAGAATGTTGTCCTTCATTTGTCCCAAATTCTGTTCTTCAGCTCTCAAGGATCCAAAATTTGTTCTTTAATTTTGATTCTTTAGAAATTGAAGAAAACAATTTGGGGTTCTTGAGAGCTGAAGAACAGAATTTGGGACAAATGAAGGACTGGTGTTGAAGAACTATATTTATATTTATGTATTGAATTTAGCAGCTGCTGGATCAAGTGAAATTATTCTATTGTATTTCTTACTTTTAAGAAATACCGACGACAGAGAACTGGTAAGACACAGTAACTTATATTGGCAGTTGGAGAGCGATGATAGGTCTAAGATTAAACATGTACTCACACACATACATTTACAATTTGCTTTCTACATTAAAAGAAAAAAGAAGAAAAGAAAGAAACACTTTTTTTGTTGTCTTTGTAGAAGAAATTCACTAGATATTCTCTTTATAATCATCACAAATTAGATTGTTGTCGCATTGTAAGCCAAATGAAACGAAGTTACTTACATAGAAGAAGAAATCAATCGTTAACTAACAACACAAGATGTTTTTGGAAATTGAATAAAATGACACTTATCGAATACATCAAACGCGTTTTAGAATGATTGTCATATTCATCGAAGAGAAGAACATATTTTATAACGAGATAGTAGAATGTGTGATAGTCTTCTAATTGACATTGAAGATTTATAAGTGTTCACATACTTGAAAATAATTTGTTGTTTTTTCCTTCATAGTACAAATATAACACGTCGTTCTTGGTTTATGGAGAATGAGTTGATCTGAATAAATCAATATAAAACTCGTTATTGCTGGTTAACCAGCAAAATCAAAACTGCAATTTTTACTTTTCAAAAACCACAGTTGTCATAGTTTTTCTTTTTAGAATATTATGTCTAATTGGGTATGAAACAACATATCTACAAGCATATTGTTTGATATGTATATAAAGGTCATTTCTTTTAACCCTGTGGGACAATCAGAAATATTTCTGTTAGAATCTGTCAATTGTCAAAGTGTTGAACATAGATTAATTTGATCTATTTGTGTGCAAAACTTAAGTTATTGAAACATTATTAGTCATTTGTACTAATCTTTTATAGTATTCATTAACGTTATAATAATCATTATCATTATTTTTGTTTGTCTGCTCGATTGTTATTATAGATTATGTTAAAATAAAATTTGTTGAAAAAGATGTACAGACCTCTTCTATACACAACAACGACAACATAAAAACAACCTTGAACTGCTAATAAATGTACATGCATATTTTGTAATTTCAAACTACCTATGGTGTCTGATGATGAACAAACACCTCCTGTGTGTGTGTATTGTGTTTTTTCTTTTCTCTCTCTTGCTCTAATGATTAACTCAAAAAAATGTTGAAGTGCTTACGGGATGGAACATAGACTGAACGAGTATGAAAAAATGTACAGTTTAGAGAGAAAACTAATTATTGTACATTCTTACAGCATCTATCGTTCAAGAGCTTTGATACTGTGTGATCCAACTAAGCAAATGAATAAAAACAACATTAATCCCGTTAGTACAGAACCGGAATGTCTACTTGTGACTTTAAAAAGACACGACAACTTATTTCTCTTTTTACATGGATACTTCCGTTAGCATGCTGCGTCAGCTACTAAAAACGCAAATGCTTTTCATTGTACCATTTTAGAAAATAATAGATTTTCTATATACATGTCTCGTTCTAATAAGTCAGGCACACTACATTTGAGTTTGAGAACATACCAAGCCTGCATTTTTTATGAAAAGAATGAATTACCGTATTCAGATCAATGGTTCAAGTTAGCTGAGGACATCCTAGTCTATACGCACTCCTACGTCCTACTTGCTCTTGAACACACTAGCAATAGAGAAAATGAGTGTTTTCACACAAATGTTTGCCTATCTTCAATTCATGCGTATGTAATAAAGAAATAGGTAAATTCATGCTGAAGAAGGATCAAACAAGTGTGTAACACGTCAACAAGTGCGCTCTCTAATCAATTCATGCATGAATACGGTTTGTGATAAGTTGAACGACTATTTGCAAAGAGAAAATCAATAATTAGATTTATCTAAAACATTGTTAAATAAGAATCAATTCTGCACGATGGTTCAATACTATGACTCTTTTCAAAGTGGCATGACAAACCAAACGAATGAGTTATAAATTTTTAATTCTCTAACAACGTTTAGTTTCAATTGAGTATACATATTGTACTGAATTTTTCTGATTTCTTGAAATAAAAATCCTCTACATTTTAAAGAATGAGTAGTAAATCGTTTATCGTTGATTTTGTTTCACTGACGGATTCAGCCAGCGAGCGGTATGAGCGACTGCTCGTACCTTTGGAGGAAAAAATGATTTTTACCTAGCAAAACTGCCCCAAAAAACTTCTTGTATGGCTATCGCACCCACTTCATACTTACCTTAACTAACGCATGTATCTTAGAAAAATTCTGAATCCTCCACTGATGTCGTTAGTTAAGGAAAATGAATAATATGGCTATCAAAAATTTTGTTCTAATGACTGAGTGATACCAGAGTCAGAAGCACCAATGGTTTTTCTTGCTTTCCAATATTCATTCACTCTAATGTACTTCTTTTTAATTAAGATATTAAAATTCTTTAATGCAGGGCATCATAAACTCACGATAAAACAAGAGTCAATAGGTCTTGATAGATAATACGGCTTATATTGTGTTAAAACAAGTATGCTCTTGTTATTCCAATAATTTTCATTAGCCTCGGCTCTGTGGCACATTTGAAAATTTTTTATGGTAGGTGTGGATTTTCCGAAAACTAATCAGTATGTAGGATTTTAAGAGAGGATCGTTAGAAACGACGGATTAACTCATTTTTAAACCAGAAGGAGCCTATGCTATCGCATCAGAAGGGGCAGTTACTCTGCTGGCAGCTCGCCAATGAATCCTCGCCCTCATAAATCCGCCACTACCTTGGTTCTGCAGTATGAAACGTATATATAGACCAATACTATTACATGTTGACAAAAAGAAAACATTTAATTCGGTTGTTAAATATTATTTATTTTACACCTACTTCACTGCAGCAACAGAGCTCTGTTTTGGATACAATTTTTTTATTCGTATTGAAACAATGATTTATTAATTTTTTTCCAACTAATATATGAATGTATTCTGTTGTGTTCCCATTGGTTTCTGTTTACATCGTATTTGACGAAACTAAACTTGTTGGTTGTAACGAAAATATATTTCTTTTTTTTATTTGTCGATTCATCCATCTTAGACAGAAATATAAGACTTTTTTTTTTTAAGCTTAATTCGTCACTTTTTTTTTTGTTCTTCTCTCATTCCTATTTGTTCTTTTGTCTTTCGTCGTAGCTTGTTTTATGTGCGGAAAAACGAACAATTCGAATGATGTGAATAACGTATGTATGTATCCATTTAGAAACAATAAATCACCAACCAAATACAATCTTAATTATACACAGTTAAAGAAAAAGGTATATAAAGAGGTTGGATCTTATTCGATAGAGTTTAAAAAAAATAATAGAACTAGCTATTGAAAAAAAAAAGAGGAATATTATATGTTTACATATGTCGATTCAACATTGAAGAGAACATTCAATAAGCCTTTTTTTTACTTTTGTGACAGCACTTTTTTCTTTTTTTTTCTCAAAAAAAAAGAGCACATAGCCGAAGAAGAAAAGCACTTTTTTGACGATATCTTTTCTTTTTACTATATATATATATATATAGGGCAGCATTTGTTTTACAAGAGACTTCAGGTAATTAAAATATTAAAACAGGAATAGGGGTCTATTCGTCCGAGCCTCCTTCATATTTAATAATAAAGTAAAAAAAAACTACAACTGGTGCATACTTGCACACAGTTAACTTATATCCTACGGCGTCATTCTCATCCATTTTGAAGTAGGATATAGAAAGTTACGTTTACTGGTCGTTCATGTGTGGCATGTCCATCTTTCAGACAATGCTTACTGAATAACTGTGAACATGAATAAATTTCAAAATAGACATTATAGGTGATGTTAGATGCAAGAAACTGTTTTATTTTCTGTAAATATGAATATGTTTTTGCAAATCTCTCCATTATAGTAGTTGTTAATAGTTGAATTTCTCTCGTTATTACCCATAAAATAACAATAAGATGTTTTTTTCATTTAGATAAGTAATTACGATAAAAGATCATGTCAAAAGCACGAAATTCAAAATGTGATTTAAAATTTTCAATCAAAAGTTTAATTAGTTCCGAGACCGACAAAGTATTTCATGTAGCAAAACATATACCATCAAACAATACTCTAAAACGATTAGTGGATGTACCATTGTCGTCGATTATCACCACGACCACAGCTACAGCTTCATCGGCTACGACATTTCGATTAAATCATGAACTTTATCGAAGACGTGCAACACAACCACCACCGTTAGTTCCATCACAACAACTACCAATCAATAATAACACATTTATTGCATCTTCCTTATTTCCATTTTTAAATACAATAACAAATAGAAATTCAACAAAACATCCATGTTGGCAAATAAATCCCACTTTACTATCGAATATTCATGAACAATTAACAATGTCACTGAATCCAGAACGTTCACCCGCAAATTTTATTAACAAAATTAATCAATATTGGGAATCAATTCATCAATGTGAACCTCAAATTAACTCTTCTGAAACAAAACGTATTAGTCAACAAAACATTTATTCAACAACAATCGCAACAACAGCAACCGGATTAAACGGTCAAATATCACCATGTACGACAACAACTAGTACAGATTCTGTTGCGAATAGATCGAATTCAGAGAAATCAGATGATGTAAAATATGAGGAAGAGGACGAAGAGACAACGGAGGAAGAAGATGATATGAGTGATCGACCAATTGAAATTGAAAGTGAGGGAGAGGAAGATGAGTCCATGGAAAAAGAATGTTTTGTTGAAAACAATGAAGAAAATGATAAGTTAAAAACGTATCCATGTCCACAATGTGAAAAGGTGAGAGAATCATTGATAAAAAAAGTAGCCAATAGTCTTTTTCAGCTCCAATAATTTAGTCACAATGTGTATTTTAATTGAATTGTTAAATCTTATGCCGTTTTATAACATAAATCTCCAATTTTGTACTCGGATAGTCTCTATTGCAAGAACAACAATTTATTTTTTATTATTAAATTTTTATTTATTTTTTAATAGGTATTCAGTGCTCACTATAATTTAATTCGACACATGCCTGTTCACACCGGTGTCCGCCCATTTATATGCAAAGTAATACAAAAATTCAATGTTTAAGAATAGCCTTATCCGTTTGTTTTTTATCTATTTCTAGGTTTGTGGCAAAGGTTTTCGTCAAGCATCTACATTGTGTCGTCATAAAATAATTCATACGTCTGAAAAACCTCATGCATGTCGTATTTGTGGAAAAGCATTTAATCGTTCATCAACATTGAATACTCACATGCGAATACATCAAAATTTTAAACCATGGGTATGTGAACATTGTGGCAAAGGTTTTCATCAAAAAGGAAATTATAAAAATCATAAATTGACTCATTCAACAACAAAACAATATAAATGTTCAATTTGTCACAAAGCATTTCATCAAATATACAATTTAAAATTTCATATGTATACTCACAGTGATATTAAACCGTATACATGTTTCATGTGTACAAAAGGTTTTTGTAGAAATTTTGATTTAAAAAAACATATGAGAAATGTTCATGTTAATGGAGGAGTGGGATTTAGAGGACCAACAACATTGGATCATTCGTTTCATCATCATCATTATCATCATTTATCATCGACAACTTCGACAAAGACATCACAACTATCATCGTCAATTAGTGACAGTTTTCATGATGAAAGTCGTTCATTGACCAAATGAAAAATAGTGAATGTACGTTATGTCAGATTTAAATAGTTTACACCTAAGACTTACATTAAATTTCTGTTACTGATAAACTACATGTTTTTTAGATAGAAAAACTAATCTCCTGTTTAAATCTCAAGAGATCTCACACTTATAAAGAATCTAATTGCTAGAGTATTCATTTTCTTCAAGTTCGGGAAGAAATATGCTCTAAGCAATACTTGTGGTGTATTGCGTAGTATACAAAAATCGAACATTGAACTAATTTTTTCCACAAACTTTATCTAATGTATTTTTTATGGTTAATGTTATGTTTTCAGTTCCCGTTTTTGTTCTCTAAAACACGAAACAGTTTGACAGACAACTTTATTTTGCTTCTTTTTTTTTTCTGTGTCATTGGTTATTTGAAAATAATAAATAATTTTTATAAAAAGGTTATGTTTGAAATTCAAATTCAAATTATACCTGTATGAAATCTCGCTTTATTCTCATCTATATTTAATTGTTCTCTATAGGAGAGAATTTATTTAGCTCGATGAACTGAGTGTTGTTCTTTCATAATATTGAAGTAAGGAACGATTTAAATGTTTTCGGTTGTATGGATTGGATACTCTAACTTCTAATATATTTTTATTGAACGTTTGACCATAAGTTAATGGAACCAATTAAACAATTAAAATAGCTAAAAGAAGAGAAGATATCACGCAACAACATCTAATTATTTCGATCTCGTGTACATTAAATTAACTTATTTTTTCTTAACACTTTTTAATCTATAATCATCAATGACAAACAAAATATATTTCTTTTTCTTTTCTTATTCTTATGTTAGACAAACAAATATTTTAATATACTTGGCAGTATGGCGATAATTATTGGCTAGAATAAAATTGCATGAACTACTTTATAAACATATACACATACATACACACAAAATTTTGAACAATAGAAAAAGTCTGAGTTGATTGCTCCTCCCTTTGCCTTTATATCAAAGATGTATCATCCATTTTGTCTTTTATATACATAGACGAATAACAATAAGTTGATAATAATATATAATTGACTAAGTTAGTCTTGATATACTAATAACTATTATATATAGAAAGAAAGTCATATGATTTTGAAAATTAGTTTTGAAACACCTCTTTTGAAGAGAAGTATTCGATGTTAAATAATTTAAACTGATATAGAATATCATGGACCAACTTTAGATAAAAAAATTTAAATAACCTTCGGGCAATGAACATCCGTTCTATTTTTAAATATTTCTGTGTGTTATTTTTAGTTTAACCGGAAAAAGAATATTAAGGGATGATATAGAATTAAAATGAACCTATCTATAGCATGTCAAATATGTTCCTTTTTTCATGCATGACATAGTGTACAAATTACTTTTTACTATGCTAAAATAGTTGAGATAAATTTTCGATTTGTTAAAATATTAAAAACAACGGACTACTTCTGAAAATTATAGTCAAATACTATGCATGAAAATGTTAACATTTTTTTATTTCACTGCATTTGCAACTATATTTAAGTTGATAATATACTGATATTTTTAAAATTTAAGTTAAATTTTATGTTTTCGATTCACGGATACAGCATAATTTTTTTCTGTATTCATAAGGTTCATCGATCAAGTAAAATAATTGTTCGATAACAAACGACGTGTGGTTTTTCTGTTAAATGCGATTAAGACACTGTATATTCAAAATATCGTTATTAATAAATCACAGTTGAATGATAATAATATACTTATATGATCAATAAGATGATCCTCTTGAATATTGTGAAATGTGTATTATGTAAACTATGATTATGTTTTTAACCAATATAACTGAATATGTTCAAAATTAAATTGATTTTATTCGTTCATCTTGATCATTCTGATGTGCTCATAAATATATTTTTTTCATTTAAAAACAGCGTGAAACAGAAGACGAATAAACTATTTTTTTTATAGTACGTAAATTATTTCAAAATAGAAGCCATTAACTACAATTTACAGAGTACCATTCATTTTTTCTGACTTCTGATCTCGCCTTTAATCACAATACTAAGAGAAAATAAATTCAAAGTAAGAAAAATACTAGTAATTATAAGAAAGTGTTAACGAAAATTGAGATGTTTACAGTTTTTCAGTATTCTAATGTGCTAGCAATTTTCTTCATCACTATATTCTTTGAACAGTGTTGAAAACTACAAAATAAAAATTTGAGTAAAGTAATTATGTGATCGAAAAAGAAATCAAAAATAATAATCATAAGGGCGCCAATTTGTGTGACGACAGACCATTGTTATTCGAGTATTGTTAAGTGCACCATTATCAAAAAATGATCTTATTAAATTTCTTTAACCTCAATTATCCAAACACAAAAAAATGCAAAATCTGTTTTTTTTCCCTTCACTACGTAATTCTGTTACTAAGCATCGTTTGCTGTACCAAATGATGGAAAAAGTGATTTTGTATGTATGTATGTATATATATGTGTATTTTTGAGTGGACCCATAAGTATGTGTGTGTGTGTGTGTATGTATTCATGTACATCTCTAAAAGATCAGAAGAATCTTGAAAAAACATTCATTTTTTTCTTCTCTTCTTTTTTTCACTTTTATAGAGCTAATAAATCTCATTTTCTGTTTCAATAAACTTGATTATTACTAATAAGACAATCAGCGCATAAAAAAGCGATATTTAAGTAGAATAAGAGATTTTAACTACTCAGAAGAGTGTCTCTGTTCAAATCAGACTTTGCATTTGTTGTCCTCAGTTTTTAATCTGATAATCGTGTTACGACAAAAGGATGACAATGAACTCCAGTTTTTACACCGTGAGCGTGGTGTGATGGAAAGAATACACAGGTAATTCTAAGTAAAAATGACTATTATTTTAGAGAGAGAGAGAGAGAGAGAGAGAGAGAGAGAGAGAGAGAGAGAGAGAGAGAGAGAGAGAGAATTTGAGCTCTATTTTGAACATGGACATTCTCGCTGAACTCAACTAACGATAAAAGAACATTTTTGCTTATACGTTTACGATGAAACAAGCAGATTTTAGATTGCAGTTGTAAAAAATACGTTATAAATACAAAAAGTTGTCAGAAATATTTATTGCCAAACCATGTTATTATGTTTCTCAAAAACTTCCAATATATGATAACAAAACTTCCAATACGAATAACAAAATGGTACTCAAAAGGAGAACACAATATGTACATAAATAGAATTAAGAATAACAGCAACGACAAAAAAAAGAAACAAAAATTAATCAAATATGAATAGACAGGTTATAAATCTCTGACAAATTTCTTTACCATGGAATTTCTTCACAAGCCATCTTTGACAAGAAAATTTTACTGTTTCATTTCTATCCGAATTTTTGTTTTTATACACTAACTCTAATGGAATTAGCAGCGTTTATTTTTCTTTTCGTCCAACTAATCGAATGAAAACATTCCTATTTGTTCTTCAGTTGTGGTCAGAAACCATCTAGCATGAAAGACTTGATTATCATGATGAATAAGACTCTTTTTTATTCTTCTCCATCATCTTCCAGTGTCGAGGTCAGCGTATTAACAGATTAATTATCGAATTTGACTTTTCAATTGCTTTTTTCACATAACATTTTTGCTCAGAGTACGAATATCATTTCCATATATTTCAATCAATATATTCTTCATCACATGATCCAAAAGAGTTGGAATGATAGCACGTGTACGAGCCCAGCTTAATTCATACCATATTTGAATCTTTTACGCAGATCTGCTAGTTCTTTGTCTATTTGCTTGTGTAAAGTTTGCTTCATATGGAACATCTTGAAAAAGGGAATCATTTTTTCTCATTATTATTTATATTAGAAGAGTCTGTAGTTAGAGAGGCATACGGAGATGAAAGAGTTGAATTCAATCGTCTGCAGTATGAGCCAACGTTACGCAAGTTTCAACAAAAAACATAATTGGAATACATACGTGATTTGTGAACTTCTTTTCCAAGCTCTTTTTGATATACTTCCAGTTTTTCCTCGCCCTATGAACTCAGCCATTGTTTCCATACAAACTCATAGGTTCGGCGGATTTTAGACACATCAATATTCATATCTTCGAACAGTCAATCAGATGAACAAACAGCATTGTTCTATTTTATTCTAAGAAAATCTATTATAATGAATGGAATACGTTCTCATTGTTCACTTAATTTTTCTTGGTTTCTCGATATTTTTGACGTCAATCTCAAACTTGTGTTGTGCGCTCCTCGTTTAAATAGTTCATGATGATTCTTTGATATTGTTAATAGCATTTTACCTTTAAAAAGTTAAAAAGTACATTTTTTAATCCATAAATATACCGATTATATATATACCTATATCAATTTCTTTACCAAATATGACAATATACACATTCGTATTCGTTCCATTCCCAATTGGGTTCCAAACGATAACGTTCACTTTGTATGTGGCTGTAAATTCTGAAAAATAAACTCCAAATGAACATGTTCCTATGGATTAAAAAAATACTCAATAGAAATCAAATTGATTAGTACAAAAAGAATCAGAGCAATCAAACTCATCGGATGTAACAAGATATTAAGAAATAATTCAGCGCTGAATGACTCTCAGACCTAACTAACGTCGTAAAGAACGAATATTTATTATCAAAACGGAATTACTTAAGCAACAAAAATCGTAAATAGTTTTAACTAAAACACATAGGTGTATCCATCCAATAAGGAAGTATCAGTTTCTAACATGTAAACCTCGGCAATATTAATCTTTTGGACGTACGACAAGAAAAGATTTTTCGAATAATGAGCTGATTTGAGCAAAGAATAGAAGAGCAAATTACTTAAAATAGTGTAAACAAATCGATCAATCTTATATAATGACAAAAAATATTTCTTTTTTACCTAAAGGAGAATAAACAATTGCTTAACATCCGAGTAAAGCATATACGAAATGAAAATTTAAAATAGTTAAAATTTTTACTTTTATCTATAGATAGAGTAAAAAATCGAAAGTCAGTATATACTGGAGTCATCAAGATAAACACATCATTATTACAATAGTAGAAACAGGAAGCCACCCAAGATATTACACAAAAAAGTTATTTCTATGTTTAGTATAACAAGCAAAGGTAGACATTCTGCAAAAAATTGAGGTGTGATCATGTTACTCAAGTTAAGATGGTAATTTTATTTTTATTTAATATTTAATTATTGCAGCATAACAGTCTTTGTACAGTACTGAATAGCGACCATTTGTTATCTGTTGATTTGTCGTCTTGGTCATTGGGCAATACTGATTTTTCTTCTAAAGTCTCTGTGTCAGACGATCCGCCTAATTCAAAATAATTGCAACTGAATGTTTTTGTATAAAAACTCAAGCTTAATTTTATCTTTTACGCAATAATATTTATATGCTGAATTGACTTCAAAATTGATTTCTTATGAGGAAAAAAAATCCGTACTATCTATCCGAATCTTCACAAATCGATTCCTTACAAATTTTATAGAGCATATAGGTAAAGCACACGATGTACGAACAAATTTACTATTAGCTTTACATAATAAATTTTAAAGCGTGAGCACGAAACTTGTGCATGAAAAGATTAGATAAAAACAAGCTCATGCTGAACAAATAGTGAAGTACACAAAAAAGTTTGATTCAATGGTATGTTCAATCGATATCAACTGTTGGGTAGTGCAGGAAAAAAGAGTAAAAAAAATGCATTGTTTATATACAAAGACAATGTATTTTTTGCTTCCTTTTTCTCTTTTTTTCTGCACTACCGACTTTTGTTCAAACGTTTAAATTTTGTATTTACTATGAATATTGTGGTTTAGTTCTCAAATTTGTACAATAATTCTGAAAACACAATGATAATCGAGTATGGTTATGCAGAAAAACAAGATGTGAGGGACTTAGATGACAATATAGCAAAGTATCACAACAATAGTGTACGAATAGTTAAGAAAAAAGAGATAGAATTCTATATCAGTTATCACTTTTAATTCAAATAAAAATCTACATTAGATTTTTGATTCATTTTGACTTTAATTTACAAAAGCAATATGATGTGTGTGATGAATATTGATAATGATGATGACGAAATATTTGCTAATATTGTGTATGATACGTGCTATAGACACGCATTAATACAAACCATTTACGAGAGCTAGAATTTTGAGAAAGAATATCAAAATATAACAAACGATATATTAGTCGATTTTTTTGAAATTTATCATCACTACTATCGTTCACAAAAAAAAGAAAAAAATAAACCAATAAACAATATTCATAATTTACTTACTTTTTCTATCGAAACTTAACGTTGATGAATATGAATCTTTTCTAACTGCTGGCCGCTCTTCGGAGAATATCTCACGTGATATTAGCCTGTCACCTTTAGTTTTGTCTAACCAATTGTTACAAATAAAATAATATCTAAATATTTGATATAAAAACACAGTTATATATAGGCTGAAGTTTCATTTTGTTTTCCGTTTTAAAACTATTACGTTTTATCATCTTGAGGATCATCAATTTCAACTTTGTCCAAATACCATGCTGCTCCAGCACCACTGTTGTCATGTCGAATTATAATTTTTATCAATTCACCAAGATGAACAGCTTTTATTGAAAATATGTCTTCCTAAAAGTGATCGTAGAAAAGTGAAATTAGTTTTGTTAATACGAGTAGTGTGGTAATAGAACATAAAAGAAATTTGAAATCAGCCTAATGTTATTTACCTGCTTCTTTTCAAATTTGTTTATATTATTCGATCTTTGTAATTGTCTTTCACCTGAATCATCTTGTGTCCCATAAATTGTTAAAAATACATTCGCGTCAGTTCCTAAGCAAAAATAAATTAAAGAATACGCAAGAAAATGTAGGAGATTGTTTCTCTACCTGCGCCCGTTTTATCGCCAGTGAAAACGTGCACTGTATATTCAACTTCATTTCTATCACTGACCGTATCTCCAGTTTCATCAGTTGGTAATAATTCTCTTATTGTTTGACGATCACCCTTACTGTTATCAAACCACTGATTAACCACAAACCAATATTCTTCCACATTCGGATCAGATAAACTTATTTTACTTGTACGAACACTGCCTTTATGAATAGAAAAGAAAAACATAACTCATTTTCCTTAGAGACAATTAAATTATACCTTTTTTCCTTTTATCAGATGTTTGACTAAGAGTTCGCCGTATACACACCTTGTAAGTGAATAAGCATAAAGCTATTTAGTTTAAAAAATAAGCCTGATCAATAGTACCTTTTCTAAAAACCATCCTGATTGAAAGCCCTTTGAATCATGGCCAATTCTTATTTTCTCTATTTGACCAACATCGGATGCTTCTAGTTTAAATTGATCAACCTAGAAGAAACATAGGTATGAAATAATGATACTGGAAGTATTAGGAGTTTTACCTTTTTCCGCTCAAATGTATCTGATTTATTTCCAAGTTTTATTTCGTCAGTTTTACCATTGACACCGTAGATCTGAATAAATACCGATGCATCTGTACCCGCGCCCTGCTTATCACCAGTGAAAACTGTGATTTCATACGGAATGGCTAAAACAGATCAATAATACGCACTCAGCCAAGGATGCTATACCGATAGCCTTCGTAAACAGTGGCGTAGACACCAGGAGAGCTGGAGTGGGCGTCGTTCCTCTATTAAATGTTCTTGCCTCTCACTAAAACTTTTATCATTCTACTACTTCGAACTAATATTTTATAATCAATGGATTGTGTAGATAAGTTCGTTAGGTGAAGAATATTTTCATCAAATACTTATGAAAAATTGAGATCTTCTTGGTTGTGTGTCGCAATATGTATGCTTACTACCTACCCAAAAAGAAGCGTAGCATCAAAAACAGCGAGATTTTAATTTCTCATTTTTGTCTCTTCGAGAAAATTTGGGGCAACACGTCCCACTGAGAAAATCCTCTTTACACTCCTACTCGTAAAGAATATTGATGCTGTACAGGAATTTATAGAAAAACACTATATCTGAGAGTTCATAGTAATTAATTCATTTTACAGCCATATTTTTTAAGAAAGATCCATCTAATTAGAAGAATGGAAGGAAGATCGGAGTGAGATAAAATGCGTCTCGACCCTGGATCGAACCCAGAACCATCTGATTACAACATTTTTTTTCCAATATAGTAAATGTCTAACGTTTGTAATTGGTTATACAAGATCATAACTAAAGTAAAAATTAATATAACTCCTGCATAATTGCATTGTTCATGGCTTCTGTGATATTATTTGTGATATGTTGAAAAAAACTGACAGACATAAAAGAAACCAGAATAATGTTCTGTTTTTTCAGACTGATAAATAGCGATAAAATAAAAAAAGTTTTGATGGATGGAAAAATGAATAGCACGTTACTGATACTATCGATTTGACGCTAAGCTTGATAAATATATGTGCATATGAGCACTTGCTCAAATAATACTCTCGTACGTTTTGTCCAACGTTTCTAGGATTTATGGCAAGAACATCAGACATTTGACAAATACTCTCATGTACTTGAACAAGTAATTACCAAGTGGCATTTTACGAGAATATTTGCCAAGTTTCTATAACACCACTTGTCAAGTGGCTGCCAATTATCTACAGAAGTTCTCAAGTAAACAAGTGCCCGCTCGCAAGTACATTCACTAGGGTAGTCATTTTAAATTGTTCATTACTAAAAATGCCATATAAACTTAAGACTATTTACAGCGTGATTTCTGTTTTTCTTCTGATGGTTGTAATTCTAGTTCTATTAATCCATCACCTTCGTTTTTATCTAGCCAACGATGACATTCAAATCTTGAAAAATAGACGTTTATTAATAGAAAAAGAAACAAATCGAACACAATTCATTTATATACGTACCGATATAATTCACCTCGTGTCGGCACATCAATTTCAACATAATCGAGAAACCAACCTGAACCTACTCCTTTTCCATTGTGTCCAATTTTGATGGCACGAATCTATCATATAAAAGAGAGTTTAAAAATTTAGATATATTTCGAAATAAAATATTTACGAACTTTTCCAAGATCACTTAATTCTAATATAAATTTATCAATTTTATTGCGTTCAAATTTATTTTTATTAGTTTCAGAATTTTTTAATTGAACAACATCACTATCGCCTTTTGTACCAAATATTTTTAGATAAACGTCAGCATCTGTTCCTGCTTGTGTCTTATCGCCAGTTTTGATGCTCACATGATAAGATGTTTCTATAGAATAAAAACGAGTTTAATATTAAGCTCTACATAGTAAAACGATCTTACGATAAAGATTTGGTTTTGCATCAAGTGTTAGTTCACGGACCAGTTGACCATCATCTTCGTCAGACGCAAGCCATCTAAAATTGTAGATAACATATGTGTGAGAATGTATATTCTAATGCATATAACACACTTACCTATTGCATAAAAATGTGGCATTAATCTCTTTGTTCTCTTGTTCACGTACAACAATTTTTTCTAAGAACCAGCCAGCACCAGCTCCTTGACCGTCATGTCCAACACGAAGTTTTTTTATTTTATTTAGTGTAACAGCTTCAATAGTAAATGTATCAACCTTCGAAGAGAAATTATACAATGTGAATGAAATCATTTGTAATATTGTCGACATACTTGACCACTTTCAAATTTATTTATATTTGATGAATATTCTAACGGGCGTTCTCCAGTATCACCCAAATCACCAAAAATATTCAAAAAAACGTTAGCATCTGTTCCAGCGCCTCTTTTTTTCCCTGTGTGAACATCGACCAAATAGTGTACAACTAGAAGAAGAGATAGATAAGATTCGGAAAGTTCGATAATTCAAAGTCTACCTGGAAGAGATCGATCAATATCGTGTCCTTCTGCTGGTAATTCTCGGACAATCTGTTTATCACCTTCCTTTCTTGAAAGCCACTTTCCACAACGAAAGACATAGCGTTTTTTTATGTTCATATTTTCCATTTCAATCTAGAACAAACTTTCATCATGAATGTTCTTGAATATTAATAAAGCAAAAATTTACTCTATCAAGATGCCATGATGCAAATGAATGTTTGTTATCGTGTCTAACTCTCAATTTGTACGGTTTTCCAACATCAGTCCCATTAATTTTAAATTCACTACATTTGCCTGCTTCGAAACTATCTGATTTGTTCATAAGTATAATGTCATCTGTTTTTCCTTTACTTCCGTATAATACTATCGACACATGACTATCGGTTCCAGCTCCTCGTATATCGCTTGTATAAACCCAAACATACCAAGGAACATCTGAAAAAGGATTAAAATAACAGTAGATTTCAATGAGATGCTCTATACTATCTTTCGATAAATACTCGGTTGTCGTATTTCTCGTTTCGACTCGTGTAAAGTGCGTTCAATTTTCTTATCATCTTCATCTGTTGCCAACCATTTATCGCAGATAAACGTCTGTTTAATACCTGTGCTTGGACAATCAATTACAACCTGAACATTTACAATTCGTTTGAGTAACAATGAAAGATAATAACTACAGAATAAACTTACTTTATCTAGAAACCATCCCTATGATAAAACAAGTAAGAAATGTCTGTGAAGGTTCATTTAAAAGACTTAAATGAGATAAGTAAAACTTACCGAACTAACACCCGAATTATCATGACCAATATCAATATAAGCTAGTGGACTAAGTTCATCTGATGCATCAATAGGAAATATATCCGTTTTATTTCGTTCAAATTTTCCACCGCTTAGGAAAATTTTCCCAGATGATATATTTTTATTTTCACCATACATTGTCAAATAGACTCGTGCATTTGTACCAGCATTTCGCTTATCACCTGTTGTTATACTTATTATATACGGTATACCTAGAACAAATTCTGAATCATTTAAAAGAAAATATGATAAAAATAAACTGCATAGAGTAGACTGGAGTAATTATAACCCGGCACAAACTTTTTCTCACAAAGTATCCTATGGACATGCTGAACTCTGATTTCGTTCGTACATACATCAATCGATAGAGGGTATCGAGGTTGTTAAAAGTTACAAAGGATTTGTGCCGACGGCTTTTCCTTTAGGTGGTTTTTCCAGATTTCCAAGC